AAATGGATGTCTCTGAAATAGATTAAACAATGAGTGACAAAATAATGACAGCTTTCTGCCCCATGTATGGTGTCTGGCTGGGAAAAAAAAATGTCAAAAATGCAATCATTTAAAAACTAAATATAAATCAGAAATTTTCTAAGACAAAACAGTCTTAGAAAAGAAAAAACTAGTTAAAGGATATATTTGGTTTTGTATTTTAAAAAATTAAGTTATTAAAGAAAGAAACATAGCTTCTCCACTGGATTTATTTTTTTTGTTTTTTATTTTTTATTTTTTTAATTTTTTTGAGACAGAGTCTTGCTCTATCGCCCAGGTTAGAATACAGTGGTGTGATCTCAGCTGACTGCAACCTATGCCTCCCAGGTTCAAGTGATTCTCTGCCTCAGCCTCCCGAGTGGCTGGGATTATAGGTGCGTGCCACCACGCCTGGCTAATCTTTTGTATTTTTAGTAGAGGCGGGGTTTCACCGTGTTAGCTGCGATGGTCTCGATCTTCTGACCCTGTGATCTGCCTGCCTCGACCTCCCAAAGTGCTGGGATTACAGGCATGAGCTACCATTCACGGAGGTAATTCTCCAGCAAATCAATCACTATGAGTTTGTTTCCTAAGGCCTGCTATAAGTGGGCCTTTTGAAACAAATGAGGAAATGGGGATTTAATTTAGTTTGGCTGTGTCCTCACCCAAATTTCACCTTGAATTGTAGCTCCCATAATCCCCACGTGTCGTGGGAGGGACCCAGTGGGAGGTAATTGAATCATGGGGGCAGGTCTTTCCCATGCTGTTCTCATGATAGTGAATAAGTCTCAAGGGATCTGATGGTTTTATAAAGGGCAGTTCCCCTATACAAGCTCTCTTGCCTGCTGTCATGTAAGATGTAACTTTGCTCCTCCTTTGCCTTTTACCATGATTGTGAGGCCTCCCCAGCCATGTGGAACCTCTTTCACTTTATTAAACCTCTTTCCTTTATAAATTACCCAGTCTTGGGTATGTCTCTATTAGCAGCATGAGAACAGACTAATACAGGGTTGAGATAATATCATGGGATTATACTCAACACTCAACATGTATGCCCACAGAAAGATATTAAATAAGACCAATCCGATCAAGAATTCAAGTTCTCCAGATGAGGGACACTGGAATTGCTTTTTTCTTGCAGAAGACCTAACCCAGAAGAGTCCAAGCAAATTCAGTGTTCCTGTCACTGTGTTCCTGTTCCTGTCTGGTCTGCACCATGGCAAGCACTAACTGGCTCCCCACTTCCCGCTAGCTGGAAGGCCCAGATATTGACTTCCAAATATTAAGGGAAGAAGTGTGGGGGGTGGGAGGGAGGACAGTCAAAGACTTAATCACAGGATCTGAGAAATCTGTTTTTATACTCTTATCTCCCACATGTTCTTAGAAACCTACTATCTGACACAAATAGACCCACAATAGATTTTTCTGAATATGGAACTGCCAAAGCAACAACCTTCCATTCTACAGAATTATTATTATCACTTTAGAGCACAGATTAATTTCCATCTTCCATGGGGGTATACAGAAAGAATTTTTTAAAAGTTTGATTTATTTAGAGTAAGTAGATATCTTCAGACAGATTTCTAATATGCAGAAAGTGGGACTTCTTTAAGTAGGTAAGAAATATCAGTACTAAAATATTTTAAAGAGTTAACCCAAATAAATTCCAAGTATGTTTTCAAGAGTAATCAGAAATTTTAAGTTGGCATTTTGGAGCAGGAAAGACATTAATATTCAACAAGAGAAGAAAATCAACCTATATAAAGATCATGTCCAAAACTTAATTTATGCAGTTATAAAATGTGTATAAAATTTGTCATTATCCTATTTTTAATAAAAAGAACATTTTTGTTATGTTTGTATTTCAAAGATGCTGAATACAGCTCTTGTAGAGTTATGCCTGAAATGAGTATAGTACATTTATCGTTGTGAGAATATTTATTCCCTAAAAAAAAAAGTCAGACATAGAAGCCAAATGTATCAGGCAAGGTAGAAAATAAACCATTATCCCTTCAAAAATCAAACTGCACTTTTGCTGACAAGATAAAAGACACTGAAATATGCACAAGGTGGCATGTACTTATCAAGGCAGGCTTTCTTCAGTGACTAAGAAATGGAAAACACACCAAAACTTCTCCCACTCTACCAGTTCACATCACTCAGGTAGCACATCTGTCTTTATGGACAGCTGGCAAACTCTTCAGAAGCAGTCCCCCTGTTACATGTTGAAGTGTGTCCCTCAAAATGGTAGGTTCAAGTCCTGACTGGTAGTACCAATGCATGTGACCGTATTTGAAAATAGGGTCATAATTAAGATGAGGTCATTAGGATGGGCCCTAATCCAATAACTGCTGTTCTTATAAAGCGAGGAAAATTTGAGCACAGAGACACAGAAGGCCATATGAATAGACTGGAGTCATGCTGCCTCAAGCCAAGGAAACCCTGGGGTTCCTCCCCTAGAGGCTTTGGAAAGAGCAGAGCCCTGCCTATACCTTGACTTCCAACTTGCAGGTTCCAGACTGCGTGAGAATAAATTTCTGTTGTTTTAAGCCACCCAATTTGTGATACTTAGTTATGACAGCCCTTAGAAACTCATACCTCCTCTCAGTCATCATATTGTAGAGATGTGAGGAGCAAGGAAGAAGACAGGGTGGAAGTAGGCATCATTTTTAGAGTGATTTGGGTTGTCAGTTATCTCTTAAAGGATAAACAGAGCTGTGGATTCAGAAATTTCCATAAAGGTTCATTCTTCTTTGGTGTCTAGTGTCTAACAAGGGATGTCCCTTTCCAAATCCCATGGGGAAAAGTACCTCATTTCCCAGAGAAATGCTCCTGCCCCCTAGTGAAAAGCAAGATATTAAAATAACATATAAACACATCACAGAGACTAAAACAAGAAAGGCGGATAACTTGACATAAGTAATACACTGTTCTAGATAAGAAAAAAAATTACCTGCCTCTAGGCATAAGCTTATGGTAGAATTAAAATGTTTCACCCAGTCAAAGCTTCAAGCTGCATTTATATTCCTCGGCAAGGTAGAAAAACATGCATTGAAAATGGAGGCCTCCAATACATCCAGGAGTCTAGTAGGTTGATTTGTTTAAATCAGTGCAGTCAATTCAGCTTTTGGAGGACTAGATGCACCACCATAAAACTAACAGTGGTATTATTAATGTATACTAATTAAACATAAGTTGTACTCTTTGGTATTTACAAGTAAAACTGTGCTAATTCAAAATCTTAAGCCCAACAATGTAGCAAAAATAATACCTTTTGACCAAAAATGTTTTTGTAACCCATGACAAGGATAACTTAGACCAAAAACTAACAAAATATATTATCAAAAAGTAGTTAAAATTGAATTGTGTAGAAGAAAAGAACTAAAACCCCAGGACACCTCAGGTGTGTCAGAAAATTCTAACATATTTCAATACAACTGCCATCATCTACTAAATTTAGAAAATTACTGCAGTTTCACAAGTATGGATTATTCACAAATATTTTTTTTCTCTGATTTAATGAGCCCTGCTGGGTAAAGCTGTCATGTCAAACTCAGGTTAATTTAGGGAAACCTGCTTTTTCCAGATGGCATCAAGGAGAACAGACAGTTAATATGAGACGCTAAACTCAAAGTCATATCATACAGTATTTATCTCAATGTGGAATGCAAGAGCTGTTAGCCCCTGAGCCCACTTTTATCTATTTCTTAAACCAGCCTTCTACTGTGGAATTCTCCACACTGCTCCTAAAATGTCATGTTTCTCTGGAATTCTCCACGCTGCTCCTAAAATGTCATGTTTCTCTCTCAGCAGCCAACCAGTGTTACCCAGAAAGTCTGTAACAGAGTCAGCTGCAAACCTAGCTCAATCACCTTCCCTGCTTTCAACAAAACAAAATAATAGCACATCCTATGTCTTCTCCTGCAGCAAACACATGGCTAATTGAGTGCCCAAAAGTTTACTAGTGTTTCAGATTAATTTAAGAAATTCTGCTCTATAAATCTTTGGACATTTTGTATCTCCAGCCAGGAGCTATTCACCTGCCAAAATGCTGATCAATTGACTGTGTGTCATATTTCTAGTCTTCTTATTTGTTGATAGGCAGCCGTGCCCCAAGTTTCTTTCACATGCTGAAAGCCAATGTCTTGGAAAGTACAATTTGGCATGAATTTCTTGGTCTTAGCAAATAAAGAAATTGCCTATCTCCAAGTAGTAGCACAGACTAACCCAGAGATGTTACTAAGGGAGAATAACCCGGCATTAACAACCAGAGCAATGCTGTTAAAATACAATCCACATTAAAACTTGCAACCAAGAAAATGTGGTGGGGAAACTCAAGATCTCCATCTTAATCTAGTATTCTCAAACCAGCTTTAATACCAAAATCATCTAAGGCAGTCTTTTAAAATGCTGATGGCAGATTCCACCCCCGCACCATCTTAATCTGAATCACTGGAGAGTGACTCAGGCACTGGGATGTTTCAGAAGCTCTCCAAGGTAATTCTAATGGTCAACTATAGTTGAGAACCACAGATAATAGCAGAGTCAGCAAACTTGCTCTATAAAGGGCCCTATCATAAATGTTTCAGGCTTTGTGGGCCACTGAGTCTCTGTCACAGCTTCTTAATTCTGCCGCTGTGGCACAAAAGTAGCCACATACATATGTAAATGAATTAGTATGGCTGTGTTCCAATAAAGCTTTATTTATGAACACTGAAATTTGAATTTTTATAACTTTTCTATGTCACAAAATATTATTCTTCTTTTGACTTTTTTTCAATCATTTCAAAAGGTAAAAACAATTCTTAGCTTACAGGCCATTCAAAAACAAGTGGTAGGCCAGATTTGGCACAGCTGTAGTTTACTGACCTCTGATCTATACTGCAGATTGAATATACTCCCACTTAATTCTTTCTCGAAAACATCTGCTCACTGACTCACTCAACCAGTCCTTGAAAAGATCCCCTTCAAAGCATGAATACCTTCAGATTCAAGTTGGTCCAGGCCATACGAGGCAGCTGTATTAACATGAGTAATCGATGGAACAACAGTTCTTCTCTCAGAGGACGTCTCCGAAGCAGGAAGTGCAGGGGAAATGCTGGGTTCCCCCACCATTATTCCAGGGGGTGTCACTGGAGATCCCAGAACTGGTGTGAACTCCTCATCTGGCCCTGTGACTGTGTCCGTTTGTTCTGCCAAACATAACAGACAGGACTTGACCCACAAGATAATCATGATGGCAAATGTAAGCATGTGCTTTCACTTTTTAGGCAAGAAATGATTAAACCAGTATCACACAGTACAGTAAGTTTGGCACTTGGGTTAGCTGTCCTTTCCCATACTGTATTAATCCAACTCCTCAAAGAACAGACTTTCAGGAAAATGTGTTGTCTTCCAGGAAACATATTATCTCTAATCAGAACTTTGTTTTTAAATTTTAATCTCCCATTTATTCTATTGGCAATATTATGGATGTTGTAGGATTTTATATTACATATTGCCAAAGGTAAAATATTTAACAAAAATGTATTAAAATATATTTCAAAGACTACTTTGGAAAGACAGAATGTCTTTCTCAAAATCAAGTCATAGAGTAAGAGCCTTGATCTGGGTCTGGAATGTCAATTTAAAAGCAGCCAAATATAGCCCCAGGAATTCCCAAGTCCAGAGACTCTGAAACAGTAGTAGCTTTCACACAGCTTTAAAAACTTCACTGCCTTTAAGAGATCAGAGCATTTGAGGGCCTCCTATATAGAAAGCACTTTGTAGACATTATTTCAAATTCTTAAAATAACCTATAAAACAGATAGGCATTATTTAGAGGTGAACAACCAAAGCTTACAGAAGTTAAGAAACTTAGCTTGAGGCCACAATATTAGTGAAAGCCAAATTTGCGATTCAAATTCAGGTCCACACTGTTTTCACCTCATATCCCCCCCCCCCCCCCCCCCCCCCCCCCCCCCCCCCCCCCCCCCCCCCCCCCCCCCCCCGGCTCCTTGCAGCAGTTACCAAACAGGAAGAGCCTTAGAGCCTTCTCAGAGGGTCTGGCCTGTGAGGACCCAGAGGTGAGCCACCAGGAGACCTTACTTACAAACTAAACCCTTGTCCCTTTTTTTTTTTTTTTTTTTTTTTGAGACGGAGTCTCGCTCTGTCTCCAGGCTGGAGTGCAGTGGTGCAATCTCAGCTCACTGCAAGCTCCTCCTCCCGGGTTCAGGCCATTCTCCTCCCTCAGCCTCCCGAGTAGCTGGAATTACAGGCACCCACCACCACACCCGGCTAATTTTTTGTATTTTTAGTAGGGACAGGGTCTCATGTTGGCCAGGATGGTCTCAATCTCCTGACTTCGTGACCCACCCGCCTCAGCCTCCGAAAGTGCTGGGATTACAGGCGTGAACCACCGCGCCCGGCCAACCCTTGTCCTTGTAAGGCTCTGTCACACCTCTTCAAACAAGACACAGTTCGCACCCCTTTCCAGGTAAAGGTGTGTGTGTGTGTGTGTGTGTGTGTGTGTGTGTGTATGCACGCACGCACGTCGGCTGCCAATGTCCACTGCCTCACTCATTCTATTCCTTGTCCACTTAACAGAAGAGATCCACCCCCAAAACAGAGTCCAATTTCCTCCCTTACAGACCTTCCACAGTGGGAGTAACTTCAAAAGACAAAGGGATGACTGTAGTTGAAACTGTAGTGGCCAGAGGCTCCCCTCTTCTTGACAGCTGAGTAACACCAGGAACGTCAGACACAGGAGAGGAGTCCTCCTTTTCTTCCTCAGTCTTGCCACCGTCTCTGATAAGCTCCAGGGTAGCAACCTGCTCTTGTGTCACCACGGATAAAGTGGCATCTGGCTCTTGAACAGCTGTTGTCATCTCTGGAGTGATGATGTCTTAAAAGGGGGAAAACATTTTAAAATAGGCCAAATCCCTATTTTAAAAACAACAAAAAGAATCATGATATGATTAAAAACTTGGGGGGAGGACAGCAGATGCTATTTCAGGAACTGGGAAAGCAAAGAGAGAACTCAGAAATAAAATGACAGTAAATAAATGTTTTCTCTGTCACTGCTTTCAGTAGTTGTGAATCAATCTACAACAGAGATAAAGAAGTTCATGGAAAAAGCTAAAATGAAATCTAAAACAAAGTAGGAAGATCAATAGCTGAGCTCCCTTTCAGGCACATGATTGAATGTCAACATAATCAGTTTGTTAAGAAACAAATTATACAGAACCAAGTTACACTCAAAAACTCTCAGAAACATTTGTATACAGTATATTAATTTTTCACATTTGCATTTCTAGATGGTCAAGGAAGCTAGCATTTTAAAAGAAAGGAGTAATAATTACAATAACTAATATTTACTGAGTTTCTATGTTAAACACCATGGTAAGTGCATGGCATACAGTATCTTATGTATGCATCCTCCCATATGCGCTACAGGGAGATAGGTGCTAGAATCATTCCATGGAAGCTGCATCATAGCGCTCAAGAATGCAGGCTCTAGAGCCAACCTGCCTTAGTCACTTACTAGCTGTGTGATCATAAACAAATTATTTCACATATGTGGGCCTTGAGTTTCCTCAGCTATAAAATGGGGATAATAATAGCATCTATCTCATAGAGCTGCTACAAAGATTAGATAACACAAGTAAAATACCTAGTATTTGGTAAGTATTCAATAATTACCAGCTATGATAACTCCACTTTACAGAATTTAGGTTTAGAAAAGCTAAGGAGCCTACCTTTGGTCACATAGCCAGCACTCTTAACCACTGTGCTAAGCCCAAGGAACAACTTAGAGAGGCCTCTGTAGAAGATGCACACTTGCTTTTAGATCAGAAAAGGAAATGAATAGAACTGGTAGGGTATGACATTATCTGTCACAGGTCCACTTTCTTTACAACATTATAATTCCCTCAAATACAGTATTAAAGACTATTTATAATTATACTCTGCTTTCTCTTCAGATCATATAAATGTTTTGCCTTCTACAGACTACTTACAAGTCAAGATTTGCCTTCTTATGAAGGGGCTATGCTAGAAATTTCAAACACTGTACAGAGCAACAACTAAAAACTTAAATTTCTTGAAAACCTAACTGTCTCTCTTTTTTAAAATATTAGTTCTAGATACTAAGTATTTTAGCAAGATCGGTAAGTTATACAATGAAAAATAACATTCTAGGGATAACTTAAAAAAGGTTTCTCAAAGTTTTTATTAATGACATGCCAGGTGCAGTGGCTCATGCCTATAATACCAGCACTTTGGGAGACTGAGGTGGAAGGATCACAAGGTCAGGAGTTTGAGACCAGCCTGGCCAATATGGTGAAACCCTATCTCTACTAAAAACACAAAAAAATTGGCCAGGCATGGTGGCACATTCCTGTCACCCCGGCCACTTGAGAGGCTGAGGCAGGAGAATTGCTTGAACCCAGGAGGTGGAGGTTGCAGTGAGCCGAGATCATACCACTGCACTCCAGCCCGGATGACAGGGCAAGACTCCGTCTTAAAAAAAAAAAAAAAAAAAAAAAAAAAAGTTTTTATTAATGACATCATGGCATATCCTATTACTTTAAAAAAATGTTGCCTCAAAAACAATGTATTTGCTTTAAAATAATGTGTATTTGTTTGTTTTTCACTATAGGCAGTTCCTTTTCTTGGTACTCATCCAGTTTACACTATTTTTCCTTTTGAATTGAAGAGATTTTTACATTTGATGGATTAATATACCTGGTTACAGGACAAACATGTGAGTTAGGGTAAGGTTCTCACATGAGTTTCATATTTGCACTCTATATCATCGTTTGAATTTTGTCTCTCTTTTATTCCTTTCTCCAATATTACCGTAAATCCCTAGAGAGCCAGGATTCATTGTCCTTCTGTAACTCTAGCACGTAGGGCAACGCTCTGTTTGCCACAAGAAGACAATAACATATAGTTTTACCATTTTAAGCAGTAGGAGTTCTCTATGTTGCCCTCATTTTTGAAAGCATAATGAACACTTTTGAGAACACATATACAAAAATAAATATGCAGGCGCTGTTTGTAGTTTTATGAAATAGCAAGAAATGTCAAAATGCATAGTATCTTGAATAAATAATTGCTGTTAGAGAAAGAAAACTGAGAACTAGAAAGAGTAATAAAAAATTTTTAAATAAACTTTAAATTTTCCTAACATCTCTCATTCTTCCTACTTCATGTTGGAGAAAAAATAATTATAGATTTTTTTTTTTTTTTTTTGAGACGGAGTCTCGCTCTGTCGCCCAGGCTGGACTGCAGTGGCTGGATCTCAGCTCACTGTAAGCTCAGCCTCCCGGGTTTACGCCATTCTCCTGCCTCAGCCTCCCGAGTAGCTGGGACTACAGGCGCCCGCCACCTCGCCCGGTTAGTTTTTCATATTTTTTAGTAGAGACGGGGTTTCACCGTGTTAGCCAGGATGGTCTCGATCTCCTGACCTCATGATCCACCCATCCACTCTCGGCCTCCCAAAGTGCTGGGATTACAGGCTTGAGCCACCGTGCCCGGCCTATAGATTATTTTTAAAACCTGACCTTCAGTTGAAGCAGCTGACTCAAAGGGCTGACTATAATCTCAACGTACTCATCTGTTAAAAATATCCAAAAACACCAGAAATCAATGCATATTCTGAAGAAGATAATGTCCTAAGTGGTCCCTGGATTCTAAATGATTAGCATTTGAGTTGTTTACTTCAGAAAAATACTTATGATCACCTGAAACTGAGTAGTAAAACATTTTGGCTATTCTATAACAACTGCTGTCAAAAACTGCAGTCTTTCCCATTCCTTTTAACTCTATGGGACAAAAAAAAAGTAAAACAAAAGGAATAAATTGACTGTTCCTCTTGGTACACAGAACATTTAGAAATTGTTTGATTTTGGATAACGTAGGCCTGCATGGTTCTCTATCCTCATTGGGAAATCCACTGAAAGGATATTTACTGAGTACCTACTATGTGCCAGGAATTGTGCTATGTGCTAGGAATAAAAAGAAGTGGCCTGTTAAAAGATTACAATTTGCTGAGGCAATTATGACTAAGAACCATATTCAAAAATCAAAATAATCAGGAAATTACCAATTCCATTTTACTTGCTAGGCTGTATTAATAGAAGCCAATACAAGTTTAGTACATAAGAATCATGGATTCAATTGTGCAGTGAACAGTCTGGGGCTATATGACTTAATGCTCCAAAAATAAAAGTTCTATGAAGAACTGAAGTAAACTTGTTGCTCAGTCATATCTAAGGTCTTCATGGCCATGTGAACCCAACTCCATGTAAAAACCAACCTACAAGACATTTTATGGAAGCTTCTATGAAAACTTAACAGCATACTAGGTCTTTCAGTCTTTAAATAAAAATGAATTAGACATGTAAAATTCAATCTTTCTTTTGTCATTTATCAGGTGATCTTTCACCATTTTAATGCAATCTCAACACCTTATAAAACATATTACTGATTTGATATTTTCCATTAATTGGGCTCATTGGCTGAAGTAACAGTTGTACATGTTCCAAAACAAATTGAAATGAGCATGTAAACATTACACTAAGCTTTTCCTTTCCAATGTTGTTATCTGTCCAACTACCCATAATAAAAGAAAACCATTATCCGTCAACAATAAATAGAAGGCTTTCCAGCTTATAATATTCACAGATGCAAAGGCCAAAAGAAAGTAGAAAATGCAGAACCAAGCAAGCAGATGATTTATCTTCCACCCTACCTACCCTTCCTTATTTCTAAATGTTCTCGTTTTAGGAAAACAAAATTAGAAAATTCATATAGTTAATACCACGAGATAACTACAGTACTTACATAAACTTTTTTTGTAACAAATATAAGGGATGTGAGCGTATTTTATAATGTGTATGTAAGTATCCAAGATTGTTTATTACAGTTTAAAAATATAGCTAATTCTTTCATATTTTCTTGTATATTTATACATTTTCATAGTAAAATGTTTGAAAAATATTAGTCTAAAATAAAAATAATAGTATCAGGGTTTCTCAGCCTCAGAGCTATTAACATGTTGGCTGGGATAATTCTTTGTTATGAGGGGCTGTCCTACGTAGTCTAAGATATTTAGCAATATCTTAGCACCCCTCAGTTCTAACAATGAAAAATGTCTCCAAACATTGCTAAATGTCCCCTGGGGGAAGGGTAAAGCAAAACAAAACTATCCCCCGTTAAAGAACACTGGTCTATAGGCAGGATTTATATTTGGGTGTAATTTTTTTTTCTTTTTCTTTTTTGAGAGGAAGTTTCGCTCTTGTCGCCCAGGCTGGAGTGCAGTGGCACACTCTTGGCTCACTGCAACCTCTGTCTCCCAGGTTCAAGCAATTCTCCTGCCTCAGCCTCCCGAGTAGCTGGGATTACAGGCACCTGCCATCACGCCCAGCTAATTTTTGTATTTTAGTAGAGATGGGGTTTCACCATGTTGGCGAGGCTGGTCTCGAACGCCTGACCTCAAGTGAGCTAGCTGCCTGCCTTGGCCTCCCAAAGTGCTGGGGTGACAGGAATTGGGTGTAATTTTTATATAAAATAGATGATGTATTTGTATGCTTCTGCTTTTCTTCATTTTTCAAATTTCATTTTTTTATTCCTTTTCAGAGAAGGGGTCTCACTGTATCACCCAGCCTGGTCTCAAACTCCTGGGCTCAATCAATTCTCCCACCTCGGCCTCCCAAAATGCTGGGATTATAGGCATGAGCCACTGCACCTGTCCTGCTTTTCATTAAAACTTCAATCTATTTCTAAATTGCCATTAAAAAAAAAATTGAAAGTTTCTAAATTAAACCAAAGCTTGTTTTTCTTTTTCTTTCTTTTACCTTTCATTGTATTTCCCAACAGTTGGTCTGCCTCAGACTCATATTCTGAGACAGAAACAGTGGTCTCTAAGAAAAACAGGGCATTGTTTTCCTTGGTAGATTCCGTGAAGTCTCCCGTACTTTGGAGCAAGTTCACAATGGAAACTTTCATGTCTTCCATTAGACTTGTGGGGGTAAAGGAAATTTGATCGATGAAAGCAGGTGATCTCTCATTCCCATGCACTATTAGCAGGGCTGTGCCCGTGTGTGTTTCTCCTTCAGGCAGCTCCAGAGCCACCTCTGCAGCCTCTGTCCAAGGCTGGCCCCCTTCCATACCCTCATGGTTTACTTGTGCTGTCTGAGACATCTCCGTTCTCACCTGAGTCTCTTCATTGTCTCCAAGCTTCGGGGTCCTTATCCGGCTTACACTCTCTAATTTGGTGTCATCCCACTCATCACTTGAGGCAGAGACAGCTGGAACAGCTGTGCTGACACTCACTGTGACTTCTGGGGCTCCCAGCAGACTGTCAGTTTCTCGCTCAACACTCAGGGTGTACTCGGAAGTTGCGAGTGGTTGCTTGGTAGCAGCAGCCTGGGTGTTATCAGCTGTCATCTGCGAAGGCTTCTCCTTATCAGGTGTGAGGCTTCCAGGCTCAGTGCCTGCTGTGGACTCAGCACTAGGAAAATAAGTTGTCCTGTGGTCTGTGTCTGCTTCAAATTTCTCAGTCCTCAGATTGGTGGTTAGCATTTCCTTAGTATTCACATAGGATGAAGGTGAATGTCCCAAACCAGCCCCTTCCTGACTTTCAGTTGCAAGTGATTGGTTATCCATATACTTCAGAAAACCTTTTGTGGTTTCTGTGATCTCTTCTACAATGGGCTGAAAGTTAGTGCTTGTAAGGAGTTCCTCCTTTCCATCAATAGTCAGAGAAGCAGTCGCAGTGATAGCAATGGTTAACATGGCCTTGGAAAGTCCACTTTCAGGAGATGTTCTTTCTGGTTGGCTGGAACCAAATACTTCTTCAACTGCTGGGACAGCTGACTCAGTAGCAGTGGAAACACCAGGGTGTTCAGTCTGCATGAGCCCAGTTCGTCCAGGCTGGGTTTCTTTGTTAATAGAGAATGCTTTATTTAATGATGTTGCCAATGGTCCTGCTGACACCATCATTGGATCTTCAGAGACCACCAGTTGGGGAGTCTGCTTTGAGGCAATGGAGCTATTTTCTAGGTCATCGGTGTTCATCTTATCAGACTGCCCTTTTTCCGCATGAACATGTGCTATCTCCCTCCTTTCTATTTTGGGGAAGGCCAGACATTGTGTGGCAACGTTGAAAAGTAGAAGGCTACAGAAAGCCAGACAAATGTGCAATACAATCGGTCCACTCATAGTGGAAGAGAAATGGCACATACACTGGCAGAGTTGACAAGTCCAGTAATTGAATCCTGCAGAAAAATAAAGCATATCAAACTGTCATATAAATACGTGTTGTAAATAAGTCTCTTTAAATTAAACCGTAAGTAAAATAATCTCCTTGACTTTATAACACACAGAGATGGTAGGTAGGAGAGGACTGTTCTATTTCTTTGTACCTTTGAGACATGGCTAACCCAGTTCATTTTTCCCTGCTGAATTTTGCTGATTTAACTTGAGGTTCCCTAGAAAAAGGTACACATAGTTCAAGTATTAAGTTCATTGTTTCTTAAATACCTACTTGAAATAAATTACCCTTGAAGTCACATTTGCAATATTCTCTCCAAATTCCTCTATTAACCATGTAGTCAAATGATATAGAAATAACAACATGTCAAAGAAATAAAAAGTAAGTCTTACACATTCATTCAAATAACTTTTTAAGTGTTGCCACATTCTGAATGTTTGTGGCCCCCAGAATTCATGTGTTGAAACCTAATCAGCAACATGGTGGTATTAGGAAGTGAGGCCTTTGAGAAGTGATGACTTCATGAGGGCAGAACCCTCATGAATGGAATTTGTGCCCTTATAAAAGAGACCCCAGGGCCAGGCACGGTGGCTAACTCCTGTAATCCCAGCACTTTGGGAGGCCAATGTGAGTGCATCACCTGAGGTCAGGAGTTAGAGACCAGCCTGGCCAACATGGTGAAATCCCGTCTTTACTAAAAATACAAAAATTAGCTGGGAGTGGTAGCAGGCATCTGTAATCTCAGCTACTCAGGAGGCTGTGGCGCGAGAATCGTTTGAACCTGGAAGGGGGAGATTACAGTGAGCTGAGATCATGCCATTGCATTATAGACTATGCAACAAGAGCAAAACCCTGTCTCAAAAAAAAAAAAAAAAAAGAGAGAGACCCCAGGCCAGGCGTGGTGGCTCACGCCAGTAATCCCAGCATTTTAGGAGGCCGAGACCAGCAGATCACTTGAGGTCAGGAGTTTGAGACCAGCCTGGCCAACATGGTGAAACCCCATCTCTAAAAAAAATACAAAAATTAGCCAGGCATGGTGGCGCAAACCTGTAATCCCAGCTGCTCGGGAGGCTGAGGCAGGAGAATTGCCTAAACCTGGGAGGTGGAGGTTGCAATGAGCTAAGATCATGCCACTGCACTCCAGCCTGGACAGGAGACTCCATCTCAAAAATAAATAAATAAATAAATAAAAGAGGGCCAGGCGAGGTGGCTCACGCCTGTAATCCCAGCACTTTGGGAGACAGAGGCAGTCAGATCACCTGAGGTCAGGAGTTCAAGACCAGCCTGGCCAACATGGTGAAACCGTCTTAACTAAAAATACAAAAAAATTAGCTGGGCATGGTGGCAGGCATCTGTAATCCCAGCTACTTGGGAGGCTGAGGAAGGCGAATCACTTGAACCCAGGAGGCAGAGGTTGCAGTGGGCTGAGATCGTACCATCACAGTCCAGCCTGGGCGACAACAGGGAAACTCCATCTCGAAATAATAAAATAAAATAAAGAGACACCCCAAGAGCTCCCTGGCCCCTTCCACCATGTAGGACACAGCGAAAAGGTGCCTTCTGTGAACCAGAAAGTGGGCCCTACCCAGACACCAAATCTACTGACACCTTGACCTTGGACTTCCCAGTCTCCAGAACTGTGAGCAATAAACTTCTGTTGTTTACAAACATCCTGTTTATTATACTTTGTTATAGCAGCCCAAATGGACTAAGAAAAGTATGTTTGAAAACACTAAATATCAGCATTAAATGCTGAATACCAGTTACTTTTAAGAGTTTTTCAAAGTAAGTAAATAGTTTTCAATGAAAATGTGTCTTTTAGCTCTTTTTCTTCAGCGAGGCAGCCGAGCAGCAGACGCAGAGATGCAGATCTTTGTGAAGACCCTCACGGGCAAGACCATCACCCTTGAGATTGAGCCCAGTGACACCATTTAGAATGTCAAAGCCAAAATTCAAGACAAGGAGGGATATCCTACCTGACCAGCAGCGTCTGATACTTGCTGGGAAACAGCTGGAGGATGGCCGCACTCTCTCAGGCTACAACATCCAGAAAGAGTCCACCCTAAACCTGGTGCTGTGCCTGCAAGGTGGCATTATTAAGCCTTTCCTCCGCCAGCTCACCCAGAAATACAACTGCGACAAGATGATCTGCTGCAAGGGCTATGCTTACCTGCACCCCCGTGCTATCAACTGCTGCAAGAAGAAATTGGCCACAGCAACAACCTGTACCCCAAGAAGAAGGTCAAATAAGGTTCTTCCTTCCTCGAAGGGCAGCAGCCTTCTGCCCAGGACCCATGGCCTTGGAGCCACAATAAAGTGTCCCTTTCATTGACTAGAGCAGAAAAAAGAAAAAAAGAAAGAAAGAAAATATGTATTTTTAAATGCTTAAATCATTTGTTATTCTCTGCAACAACTATACAAATTACAGGCAAAACATGTTTCAAAATTGAAGGATTAGAAAAGGTTTAAGAGTTTAAGCAAGGTTAATAGTTTCAGAAAAAAAAAATATATTTTAAAATTAGCAATCTTTACTGAATATCCATTATTATAAGATAAAAAATGTATTGTAGTATTTAAAATAAACTACTCACATTCTCATTACAACTAAAACTATATTAAAATTGTTAATTTCCCCCCAAATTTAAGGGTTTCAGTTCTTTTTTTTATCTATTTTGCTGAGTAGGACCTTTTCTCTTCCCATCATCAGAAATTTCTCAGAGATGTTGCAAGTTTTCTAGAAAATTAAACCTTGAAACTAAAATTCTAAAATAAAAACCTCAACTTTATAAAGTTTACATTTTTTTCTCTTTCATGTCTAATCATTCAATGATCTAAGTTAAGCAAATGATGTGCACATGTGAAATTTATAAATTTATTATCATAGGGCCTTCTTCCCTTAAGGAGTTTTCAAAGCTTCCACGTGTTATCTCATTTAGTCTTGTAGGTCCTTTCAAGAAGGAAGAAAGGTAAAGTCCTCAGGACATGATCTACACAGCTGAAGACAAAAAGAAGGCTGAATTTTCTTTCCTTCCTCTTTTTTTTGTTTCTTTTTTTGTTTGTTTGTTTGAGACGGACTTTCACTCTGTCGCCCAGGCTGGAATGCAGTGCGAGTCAGCTCACTGCAACCTCCAGCTCCTGAGTTCTTGTGCCTCAGCCTCCCGAGTAGCTGGGACTACAGGCATGCACCACCATGGCCAGCTAATTTTTGTATTTTTATTAGAGATGGGGTTTCACCATGTTGGCCAGACTAGTCTTAAACTCCTGACCTCAAGCGATCCAACTGCCTCAGCCTCCCACAGTGCTGAAATTACAGGTGTGAGCTCCCCTCCCCTTCCCTTCCTTCTCTTTTTTTCTTTCCCCAGGCTGGACTTGAACTCCTGGGCTCTAGCAATCCTCCTGCATCAAGCTCCTAAGTAAGTAGGACCACAGACACGCACCACCACACAGCACAAGAAGACTGACTTTTTCTACGTGAGAAAAAAAGGAATCCATGGATTTAGAGCCAAGGCTTCCTGCCAACTACCACCACCATATGAGTGTACCATCTTGGAAATTGGTCCAGCAGCCCCAGTCAGCCCTTCGGATGACTGCACCCCTGGCTGACATCTTGACTACACCTTCTTGAAAGACTTTGTGCCAGAACCACGCAGCTAAGTTACTTCCAAATTTGTGATGCATAGAACTGGTACAAAATAACAAATAATTATTGTTATTTCAAGCCACTAAGCTATGGGGTAATTTGTTACACAGAAATCTTGAGTCCATGATGCTTCAGGGAAATACAGGAATGGAATGGCATCATGAGTATAATAGAGTCATGTGCAGAAAAGAAACAGCATATCAGGGATTACAAATTTAGCAGAAGAAAACGGAAGCCAGAGATGACTAAAAGAAACGTTAAGTCACCAAAGAATCTGCAATGATAATGAGAGGGATGCTAAGTTTCCCCATATGCAAATGGGGGTTTGAAACAAACATATCTGAATATTAAATTACATACTGTTAGCTAGCATTGTTTTTGTTTGTTTGTATGTTTGTTTTTGAGATGGGGTCTCACTCTGTTGCCCAGGCTGGAGTGCACTGATGCCATCTCGGCTCACTGCAACCTCCGTCACCCAGGTTCAAGTGATTCTCCTGCTGCAGCCTCCCAAGTAGCTGGGATTACAGGTGCCCACTACCATACCCAGCTAATTTTTGTATTTTTAATAGAGATGGGGTTTCACCATGTTGGCCAGGCTGGTCTCGAACTTCTGACCCCAAATGATCCACCTGCCTCAATCTCCCAATGTGCTAGGATTACAGGCATGAGCCACTGTGCCCATCTTTTTTTTTTTTTTTTTTTTTTTGAGACAAGAGTCTTGCTCTGTCACCCAGGTTAGAGTGCGGTGGTACGACCTCAGCTCACTGCTCCCTCCACCTTCTGGGTTCAAGTGATTCTCCTGCCTCAACTTCCTAAGTAGCTGGGATTACAGGTGCCCACCATCACACCCAGCTAATTTTTGTATTTTTAGTAGAGACAGGGTTTCACCATTTGGCCAGGCTAGTCTCGAACTCCTGACCTCAAGCGATCCATCCACCTCAGCCTCCCAAAGTGCTGGGATTACAGGCGTGAGCCACCACACCTGGCTGCATTGTTCTTTTCTAAAAAGAGAAAATGGCAAAGATATTTGATAAAGAGGAAACAGCATGTGCCACAGCATGTCAACATTCTGGACATTAGTTATCACTGTACTTTAGATGAGCCAGGATGTACTCTAATTCATAGCCAGGTAACAGATCACTGAATTTGGCTTGATGCCTCTATTTGCCTTCCTTAAAACAAAAACGTAGTGAAGGGGCCAGGTGCGGTGGCTCATACCTGTAGTTCCAATGCTTTGGGAGGCCAAGGCAGGAGGATCATCTGAGTCCAGGAGTTTGAGACCAACCTGAGCAACAGGGCAAAATCTCATCTCTACAAAATTAGCCAGGCACATGCCAGTAGATCCAGCTACTCGGAGGTTGAAGTGGGAGAATCACTTGAGCCTGAAAAGTCAAGACTGCAGTGAGCCATGATCACACCACTGCACTCCATTCTGGGCGACAGAGAAAAGCCCGTCTCAAAAACAAACAGACAACAACAACAACAACAAAAACATATGAGGCCTGGCGCAGTGGCTCACACCTGTAATCCCAGCACTTTGGGAGGCCAAGGCGGGCGGATCATGAGGCCAGGAGATTGAGAACATTCTGGCTCACATGGTGAAACCCTGTCTCCACTAAAAATACAAAAAAATTAGCCGGGAGTGGTGGTGGGCGCCTATAGTCCCAGCTCTTCAGGAGGCTGAGGCAGGAGAACGGCATGAACCTGGGTGGTGGAGCTTGCAGTGAGCCAAGATCGCGCCACTGCACTCCAGCCTGGCTGACAGAGGGAAACTCCATCTCAAAAAAAAAAAAAAAAAAAAAAAAAAAAATATATATATATATATATATATGATAGCTGTGAAACAAGAGTATTGACAGTCAATAAAATTACACCTTTGGGTTTCTGTTCAGACAAATTCACCTACTAAATTCTATCTACGTGCTTGAAGAGTCATAAAAGCTATAGAACGCTATGGTTCATTTCTGATCCATTCAGGTAGCTGCTCCTTCCTAAACAAACACTTTTTCTATTCAGTGAAATCTTACTGAACGTGTGGCCTAAAACCTTGGCCCACATGACCCCATACTTCTGAATAAAAATCTGAAAACCCCAGGCCATCATGAATGGTAATAAGAGTTTAGAGGGCCTTGGGCTGGCATCAGAAAAATGATTCCTGAATCGTAACTTTATTGATGTTAAAACTTGCTTATATGATACTGAGCAAGTGGCCCCAGTTTCTCCTTTGACAAAATGAGGAATTAAAATAATCATTGAAATCCCTTCTTCATCCATGATTTTATTCTTACACCTCACCTATATGACATAAAATAAAAATACAAATATTTCTATATTCCTATAATGTTGCCATCAAGTAGGAAAGGCGCTCAAATGATGGAGCAGATGCTTTATGTGTTATGTGTATGTTATGGAGTCGTGTGGACTGAGAGAAAAATTTTACAAACAAATCAGACCAAGGGAAGAAGGGATAGATAATAAAGACTTAATACAGCCCCACTGCCTTTCCAAAACATAATTTTCCTTCAAAGTTTTATTTTCACCTGTATCTTGGGTTTTAGGATTTTTGTGTGGAGGGAATTCTGCTATTGCTCCAAAAGACTTTCCTTCTGTGATTGTCAGCCACCTGCTTTCTAAATTCAGTGACAACAGAAAGAGTGGGGGTGAACCACAAGCCTTTGCTTTTTCCCCCTTTTCAGAGGTATTTATGCAAGCTTTCTCTATGTCTGTGTATTGAGGCCATATGTTCCCTCTCCCCACTATTGAAAGCAACGCTTGTACGTTAAAAGGAAAAAAGACAACCTGTAAGAAGAATAACAGGGAACACGCCTGCAACTCAGATAAACCGATAGATGACCTTCAAATTCCCGGATTTTCTCCATCTTTCAAAGCCCAGTATAGGTTCATGTAGTCACTCCCATTAGTCTGATGTCCCACAATGGGAGTTACATGACGCTCAAAATAAATAAGAGAAGACTGTTGTCAATTCGACAATATTTCTAAACCTAAATAACCATCTGCAACCATATTTTAAGCCTTTTCCTTCTTCCTCAATACTGTATCCCCTTCCTGGCAACGTGCCTGACACAGAAGAAATGCTCAGTAAATATTGGCTGAACAAACAGATGAATGTCTATAGCCCACTTTGCTGGAAGAAGTGGAAGGAGGAGAGATTCCATTGCATATTAGAATTCTGTGTCTTAATTATCTTCAATTAGCTCAATCATAAGAATATTTAACAAACAAACAAAAAGAACATTCCTCTTACTTTTCCCTCCCACTGTGTATTTGGATGCTGCTTTCTTTTCCCTGTCTCTCTCGATGCAAATTAATTCAGATAAATAAGCTCTAACCAAATTACCAACTGATGTTGGGTATCAGCTTTGAATAGCTTGAAAAGCATCTCCTTCAGAGCAGGTCAGTAGCACTTTGTCGATCATTTGCTATCAAGGTATCTATCCTAATAGCTTGGCATTCTTCTGAGCAATTTACGCATTTCTGCCACCAGTGAGCAAGATAAGCTGTTCTGTCAGGCATTATCTTTGACAATCTTACATAGCTACAGTCCAGAATCTGTTTCTCTGTCAAGTCTAGGCATATTCAAGTTTCAAAGACAAATGAAAGGCAACATAAAAAAATACCAGCCTTGGCCATCTGGTTAATCAGATTTTGTAAGCACTGGGTCAATATTTTTT